AATATTTTACGAACTAAAAAGGAAATATTAAGTTGCGTAAATATTGAAAGAATGGATAGACTTCAAAAAATTATTAAGAATTTATGAAGTTTCAATAATACAATAAATTGTAGCATTTTAAAATCTTTAAAATTAATAGTAATTTTCATTCGTCTAAAAAGTAATTTTTTTTGTCTATAAAATATATTTATGTTTATATATATATTTTATAGACAAAAAATATGTTTATATATATATATATATGTTTATATATATATTTTATAGATTCCATACAAGTTGAAAAACGGGAAAATATCAACCCATATAGACCTAACAAAATATACCAACAACCGATATCTCACAAAAATATATTGTGCTAGAGGATCAGTTATTAAGTTCTAAAACAATATTCCCACTGATTTCAAAAACGTCCCAAACAAAAGCTTATTCAAACAAAAATTAAAGGAATGTTTATTTACTGAAAATGATATCGAGAACCTATTTTAAATGTATTTTTCAACCTGTGTGTTTTACAAAATATATAGTGACTGTAAATCTTTACTTTTATTAAACGACACCACGTTTGCCACTAGTATGTTATGCGAATTTTTTTTGATTTCTCGAAAAAAAATAGTTATATAACAATTTATTTAAGCATTATTTTACCATATTCAAACAAAACAGTAAAATAACTATAAATAAGGTGGTATTAAAATTTTAAGCTGTGAAGAGAACCGTTTATTAGCTGCTTTCACCTAATACGGAAACAACCAGAATTTTATCTTACCAGACCTTACCTAGACCCACCTATTGAAATCCCTTAGTTCCGTGTAGAGGGGTACATATTATAGCCAAGAGGGTCAATCTTCTGTTCTCATGACTGAGGAAATAGGGGTTCAGATCCCAGTGGCGACAGCACAATATTTCCCTCATTAATTTTCCATGTTTCAGCGTCCTGCTCTCCCCAATTTATGACCCTGGGCAGTTAGAATACGATACCCTCATTTACGCATAGATGGCAGCATCATAAAGCTGCTGAACTATCTTCAATTTCCAGTTCAATTTCTTTTTTATGGCTCTGAAAGTATGCTATTTGTAAATGGTAAAAAATTCGTATAGTTTGGTATTCATGGTTTTTTACCTTACTAGTTGCAAACGGCTTTATAACCATAAATGTAAAGATTGTTCTTTATCGTAAATTTTAAAATTAATTGTATGGACAGATTGCTGCCTGTTTCTTTACCATAATTTTAGTATATTCAGTGTATATTCAGTGTGTATTCAGGAGTATGTGTCTGTCTTTTAATCTCATTATATGGATTTATTAATAACTTTTATGGTTACCATTGTCTGCCATGTGATCCCAGGAAACCGAATTATTTCTTGATGTTTGTTTCCTCGCTTGTAAATAATAAGTAAAATAAAATAAAAAGTAAAATGATTAGCTATTATAATAGTAAAATTATTATAATAGTAAGATAAAATTTCCAAAACGAGGCAAGAAATTATGTAATAAAATGTGATTCTTTTTGTTGCTCGTTAAAAAATTGTTGTATTCGCAGGTTTTTTTATAAAAGTAGTCAAGTAAGAAGAATGTGAAAAAAAAGTTTTGAGACATAAATTGAAGGAAAATATTTAAGCGTTCACTTAAGTTCAAATAAAACATTAAAGCTATTTTTATAAAATAATTAAACTTAAGCAATACCTTCCTTTTTAAAACTATTCTCATGTCATTAAACTTTACTTAAATATAAGAACTGCCGTTATCGAAGGCAATCAATAAAAATAATGCCTGCATTACTTAAAAACTTAAAAGCTAAGTGCTAATGCACTAAATATTCCTCCAACATGGCCTGAGAAATATTTTATGCTAAATAAACTTAGCTCATTTTTTTTTTAAAAAACCCTTTAATTGCTTATTCATTAAAATTAAATTCTCTTTAAGATTATAATTTAACAGGATAAGAATATTTTTTCTTCGATTTTGAATCAAACTTGGAATTAAATGCAGTCAGTAAAATATTATTAAATAGAGATTAACTTAATTCCTTTGCCAAATATTTAAGCATTTTCTGCAAATGCTTGAATTTACAGACATTTTAAAAGATAATTGGATTGAGATATCTAGAAAATTAAAAACAAAAATATAAAAGAAAAAAAATGCATATATACTTTAAATATATTTAATGTTACTTGGTTGTAATAATAAAGCATATTTTCGAACTTGAACACCATGTTGGACCTTAAGGGTTATAACGGGATAAAATGTCGGAAAGATACTTTTAATTGTGTCCAAGCTGTTATTTTCCAAACCAGCGGCTTTTAAGAATCCACTCTCCTGTTAGGCATTTTTTAAAAAAAACATGATTTTTGAAATTTTTTTTTATTTCATGTATTAAATTTCAAAAGAAGTAAAAGCTGGCATTATAATTGCGACCAACAACATCAAGAGGACAGTCATCGTAAAAGAGAGAGAGAGTCGTTAAAGGCCGTTGGATTGTAAATTAGCATCCGGGCATATCTTGAGATTGCTGGATATCATACTTTTAATTTGAAAATTAGCTCCATTAACTTTCGAAATTTTTTAAGAGAGTTAAAATAATGTCTCTCGATGAAGGATTGGAATTCAGAAATTATTCTTAGCTCTTTCAGAATATACGAAAATTTACAAATTCGGAATATATGAAAATATACGAATACCCATAAGTGTGTTAGAGTTGTTTTCTTGAATGATTTTTTTCGTTGAAACAAAGAGAATATTTAAAACGTATGATCTTTTATACACTTGCTAAATTTTGGATCCATTGTGAAAAACTGAATAGTTTGAACAAAATGATTTGATTAGAGTAGATACCAATGGTTTTTACCCTATTTCATGGTTACTCTGGACAATTAAAATGTATATGAGACTACTGTTTTCTAAAATATATATGAAAACTACTGTTTGAAGTAAATTAAAATGATAAACATTTAAAAATAATTGTAAGCATTTTTTGTATTCTCATAATATTTAGTTTTTATTTACTTATTTTTTAAATTGTCGAGATATTTTTAAGATGCAAAAAGGTTTAACTAGATAATTTTTATTAAATAAAAAATAATAATTAATAACAAGATCAATAGTTTGTTATAGAATAATTTTAAAAATTTAAATTGANAAGTTTAAATAAAACATGAAAGCTATTTTTATAAAATAATTAAACCTAAGCAATACCTCCCTTTTTAAAACTATTCTCACGTCATTAAACTTTACTTAAATATAAGAACTACCGTTATCGAAGGCAATCAATAAAAATAATGCCTGCATTACTTAAAAACTTAAAAGCTAAGTGCTAATGCACTAAATATTCCTCCAACATGGCCTGAGAAATATTTTATGCTAAATAAACTTAGCTCATTTTTTTTTTAAAAAACCCTTTAATTGCTTATTCATTAAAATTAAATTCTCTTTAAGATTATAATTTAACAGGATAAGAATATTTTTTCTTCGATTTTGAATCAAACTTGGAATTAAATGCAGTCAGTAAAATATTATTAAATAGAGATTAACTTAATTCATTTGCCAAATATTTAAGCATTTTCTGCAAATGCTTAAATTTACAGACATTTTAAAAGATAATTGGATTGAGATATCTAGAAAATTGGAAACAGAAATAAAAAAGGAAAAATTGCATATATACTTTAAATATATTTAATGTATAATAAAGTATATTTTTGAACCTGCACACTATGTTGGACCTTAAGGGATATAACTGGATGAGCTGTCGGAAAGTTACTTTTAATTATGTCCAAGCTGTTATTTCCAAACCAGCGGCTTTTAACGCTCCACTCTTCAGTTAGGCATTTTTTTAAATAAACATAATTTTTTATTTTTTTTTATTTCATGCATTAAATTTTAAGAGAAATAAAAGCTTGCATTATAATTCCGACCAACAAATTCCAAGAGGACAATCATCATAATAGAGAGCCAGTCGTTAAAGGCCGTTGGATTGTAAACTAGCTTCCGGGCATATCATGAGATTGCTGGACATTATATTTTCAATTTGAAAATTTACTCCTTTAACTTTAGAAATTTTTACGATAGTTAAAATAGTGTCTCTCGATGAAGAATTGTAATTTAGAAATTATTCTTAACTTTTTCAGAATATATGAAAATTTACAAATTCGGAACATATGAAAATATACGAATGCCCATAAGTGTGCGAGAGGGGTTTTTTGAACGATTTTTATTTCGTGGAAACAAAGAGAATATTTAAAATGTATGATCTTTTATACACTCACTAAATTTGGGTTCATTTTGAAAAACTAAATAGTTTGAACACATTGATTTGGTTAGAGTAGAAACCAATGGTTTTTACCCTATTTCATGGTTACTTTGAACAATTAAAATGTATATGAGACTACTGTTTTCTAAAGTATGTATGAAAACTACTGTTTGAAGAAGATTAAGACGATAAACATTTAAAAATAATTGTAAACATTATTTGCATTCTCATATTATTTAGTTTTTTTTCTTCCTTTTTTTAAATTTTCGAGATAATTTTAAGATGTAGAAAGGCTTAACAAGATAATTTTTATTGAATAAAAAAATAATAATTGATAACAAGATCAAAATTTTGGATAGTTAGAATAATTAATAATTTATTAATTTAGAGTAATTTTAAAAATTTAACTTTAATAGCTTCTGAGGAATGCAATATTTGGGCAAAAAATAAAATATTAACACAATGAATTTGAAATTAAAAAAAAAAACTTGCATCTTCACTTTTGAAACATGAACAAGCATAATTAGTTTATTCCAATTTGAATGGATTCCAATAATAAGTAAAATTAACGACATATATTTTTTCGAACATTCAAAATAAATAGTTTTTAAAATTATTGTTCGTTTAAGTCAAAATACAATGTATTAAAGGTCATTCAAAACGTTATTAAAAACGATTTAAAAGAAAGAGTGACTTCAAAAATGAATATTGCTAGAATTAAAACTTAAAACATTTATAATTTTGAATGAAACTCACCGTTGACAGAGAGTTTTATAACTTCCGCTAGAGCTGCACCAACTCCATTACTTGCTTCACACAGGTATAGCCCACTGTCTTGCTTTTCAACATCTCTTATAACTAAAGACCCATTTTCAAGTACATACATATGTGAACTGCTTACAACACTACGGAAGTCAGCTGGCAGAGTAGGACCATCCCCTATTCATCAATAAACATATGAGCAATCAATATGTGTAAAAGATAAGAACAACAAAAATGAAATAAATGATTTTTAGGAAAAAGATGACAGTTGCATACATTTTCATGAAACTAAATTCGAAGTTTTACTATAATAATAGTGCGTTGAACCATTTAAAGAGAAATTAATCTAAAAAAATTACCTTACTGTATGGCAATGAACATTCTGGTTGAAAAAAATATATATTTCTGGTTAATAAAGCCAGAATATACGGGTTATAAACCATTCATTTGGTAATTTTTTAGTTTAAATTTTAACTACTCATTTAGTAAAAAAATCAAAACTTAAAAGAAAATTTGACTGAATAAATGGTTTATATGCCATGCTCTAAGCTTCATTATGCTATTACAACATTTAACCTCATTTTATAAATTTTCTCACATATTATAAAACTATCTTTTATTACTAATTTTACAATACTCATTACCAAAGCGCTATGGTTACAATTACCGAGCTCTTAAGCTCTCTAGATAGTCAGAAATAAGGTAAATTTTACCATATTTTATTAGTTTTGACCATAACTGTTTTTCTCATTGTGAAAATTTAGTGCACCCTTAACAGGTTGTCAAATTGAATCGTCATTCCATATAAGTTGAACTATAGAATCGTACAATCAACTTTAAGAGCGATTACATGGCAAGATAATATATTTCAGCATAGAGCCATATTAAGATTTGGGAGAAAAAAAATTTTAAACAAAAATCTCAAAGAATTTTACGGCGAGATTTTGTATACGCAAATTTCAATGAAGCAGTAACTTTTATCACAAACCCCAACAAGGTTTATAAATAGCTAGCAAATAAACAATGCAACCTTGAAGCAATGTTAAATTTTACTATGCTGGTTTGCACACTATGAACTTCGCAATAAGTTTGCATATATAGTAATTTTGCATCAAGATGGAATTTGAAAACACTGCACATCATTATTAAAAAACATTTAGTTTGAGAACTTTAACAGACAAAGGGAAAAAAGTGCAAAAACAAGGTATAAAATAAAGTGTTTTTTTTATTAAGGTATATTCAGTGAATTTATTAAATGTTTAAAAAAACAATACATGTATTGTAGCATTTTTGATTGGTAGTAACAATGAATAACCAGTCAATCTTCTTCTGGGGCAGGATACAAATATAAATATAATTATTAATATGATTATTAAGGTGCTTTCATTTTCTAAAAATCCAAATGTATAACACAATTTTGTCTAATAGGTACTTATCAATTTTTTTGATGTTTTCTAAAAAAAAACTTTCTCGTGTTTTTTCATTCTGCACCGTAAAAATCTTTGGGAAACTATAAGTTATTACCTCGTTCAAACTTTATGTTACCTTATTACATTTGTAAGTTGAATAACAGTACCGTTCTTCGTAAGCCTAACTAAACAATACCATGGTTCAACTTCTATTAAGATCGAGCTCAATTTAACACTTTAAAATATAGCAGCAAATCTGCATCTTATTATAACTTCAAGTTATTGATATTATGTTGAACCATTACTTTGAGACTGTAGCACTCATGTTTTCTAAATTAAATGTCAGTTCATTGAGGAGATAAAGTTTATAAATGCTCTTTTAAATTGAACATTATCATTTCGAACATGCGGTAACATTAGGAAAAATTAATATACTGAGTAGAAAATACGAGAATATAGTGTAAGAAATTCCGGATCAAATTACGGCTAAAAGTACAGGCAGCTTGCGGGAACTTCTTATCGTAATATCTATTTTTAACGGGATATGTTACGGAGCAAAAAATATAATTTACCGTGGTTTTTACGGTAAAAATTACCGTCAAATCACTTAATCACTCCAATTAAATAAATATTACTATAAAAATTGCTGTGAAATTATGCAACAATATTTTGTGGTATACATGAACTTTACATATGATGCACCCAAAATGACGGTACTTTATACCATATTTTTATTCTGAAATTTTTATAGTGTACAATTTTCAAAGTAGTTCACGGTTTAATGTTTTTTTAATGTATCGATACTTTTAAATATTGCTTCAGAGCAACGGTGTTTTAGATTTACTTATACTGTTCATAAACGTGACTACTGTACTACTGTTCATAAACGTGAAAAAACTTACCATTGTTTTTTATGCGTAAATTTTTGTAACATTATTACTTATACTGTTCATAAACGTGAAAAAACTTACCATTGTTTTTCATGTGTAAATTTTTATAACATTTAGAAATATTAAAAAAATATGAATACAATAACTTTGTATTACAATTATTTGTCTTATGCAAATTTAATAAAATTATTCTAAATTAGTCTTCATGCATTGCTTTTACTTTATCTTTACACAAATAATAACATTACTTTTGAATGCAAACATTTTCAGTTCTATGTTTCTAATTTACAATTTTATGAAATGTACTTTTTATTAGTTATAATTTAATAATTTCACATCGGATAAAACCTTAATAACAAATATTAGATTTGTTTATTCCAAAGTTTCATTTTAATTTTTAAGATTGCAAAGAAAGCACAGAATAATTGTAAGAATAAATTCATGAATAAACAACCCGAGAATATTATTTTTCTAGTAAATGTTTTGATTTGGTTGCAATGACATGGGAACTATTTAAGTTAAGAAATAAAATATTTTTTCCCACAAAATATGTAGATAAAATTTTTAACATATACTTAGGTAACAATCTTCATGGAAAGAAAGAAGAATTCACAGATAAAATTAAAATTCTTTTCTCAGCTATCCTAATTAGGCTTTCAATTTGGTTACACAAAGAGAATATTTTAAAACCACTTGGAATTTTTAAATATTTAGAAAAATTCTTCATGCTTTAATCACGAAACATGGGATGTAAAATATTTAATTCTCGTTCCTTATCGATTAGGGAAATGCTAATAAATCATTCTAAATGCTAATACTTATCTAAATTATTATTCATTTATTCCAGATATTATAGTGACGGGAATTTTAAATTGTAAAAATGTACAGAGTATTAGCATCAAAATAACGTACGAAAAATTTTTCTTCTTTCAGGATAAAAAGTATATGCGTTAAATGATTACGAATTCTGCTTCTGTAAATATATCAATAATTTTCTTACATTTTTGGATACACTATCATATCTGTGGAAACAGCTTCAGACTCTATAAAGCATAGATGTGGTCCAATAAATGAGAAATTTAAATTACACTGTTAAAATAATTCTATCAATTTACTTTGAAAAAGTACTGGTACGGTAAATGCAGCATCATTAAAATATATTTTAAAGTAAAATTTTATACAGTAATTTTCCCGTTTATCCTTATTTCATAACAGTAATTCAGTGGTTTTGCAGTGGTGGGATTTCAGTAAATTACGATACATCAAATATTTATCGTACTTTGTTTCGGATTTTTACAGTGTATAAATAAACTATGCGACAATAAAAAGAAAATTATTTGTATATATGCTACTATTTTTATTTCAGAATTAAAACTAGAAAGACTGAACATTTCTGTATACGTAATATGTTCTGTATACAAAAGTCTGAAGAGGTAAATTTTGTAATCATAATTTATACAATAAAAACTATATTAGAGATTTGATCATCAAAATTATATTGTATTTTATTGGATTTGATGAACGAAAATATTCGCCAACGAAACACTGACTTTTTAAATGTACTTACACAGTAAAAGATTCTGGAAGAAATTACGGTATAAAATACTGGCACTTTGGGTACAGCATGCCTAAAAAATTATTTTACCATAAAATATATTTTTACCATAAAAGATCGTACAGCAATTTCTTAATTAATGTTTATTTATTTTAAATAAAGTGATTCAGTGATTTAACAGTAATTACTATATTAAAAATTACGGTAAATCAAATTCTTTGTTCCGCTAATTATCTCGTAACATGTTCGGGCAAAAATTGATTTCACCGTAATTTGATCCGGAATTTATGAAGGTTAGATAATTGAGTTGTTTTCTCTTTTCCATACTGTAAAACTTCTATATCAAATTGTGGTAAAAATTACAGGAACACAGAGTGTCCGTACTTTTTAAAGGGAAATGCATTTTTACCGGAAAATGTTGCTAAAGAAAATATCTGATATTCCGAGATTTTTTCCTTAATAATTACCGTAAAATCATTTTATCTCTGGAATTAAATTAATATCACTATAAAATTTACGATATAACATTTAACGGTGAAAAATTATTTTAGGGTAAAATAATTTATGGATAATGCACACAATGTGTCATTAATTTATAACGTAATATGCTTATGAAATCTTTACAGTGCAGTTGAGTATCCCTTCTTCGTAGGGCGGAAATAACTCATAATGGTCAAAATTTACCTCAATTAAGTGATTTTATTTGGTACTTATTCCTTTTGAAGTCCCGTAAGAGATCTGTTTCGTCATTAACTAAATTAAAACTACATATGATCAATGGATTTTTAATCGATATCGAATATATTAAATTATCCTTCATTAGTATATTTGGCATTGAATGCCCAAAATGCCATACTATCAAAAGTGCCTATTGTCAAATTTAATTAAGTGACAATTGCATTGCTGACAATATTAATATTAAGTGGAAAATTAACATTGGTGGCAATAATATTATGGTGATTTTTTGTGTTCCTCCTGCTCGAACTCCATTAATTTAGCTTTACAGTACATAGCTTATTTTTTTATTGTATTTAAGGCAAAAAAGTTTGCATGACGATTTTTCTGTTACTTTTTTGATTAATTTTGCCATCCGGTACAAAATTTATTTTTTTTGTTTATTTCAGTTATAGATTCTATAATAAAATATTAATCAAAGATCATTTGTGCAGAAAATAGTAAGGAGAGATTTTGCTTTCCTCCTAAATGATCAACGTTTATTCCTTAAGTAGTGCATAGTTTACTTTTTTTATTCAAGTTAGACTCTCTCACCAAAATTAATTAAGCATCGTGAGCTATAATAATAGTATGGCAATTTACTACACT